ATGTTTGACTGTAGAGAAGTCATGGCATATTTGAATAACACGCAAGTGAGTTGGTCCTTCAAGAATGAACAAACATTCTTCAAAGAATTAGAAGTTAACTTCATACTTGAATTTAGAAGACTCTTTAGAAAGGATGTTGACAAGATGCTTGATATTAAGAATAAGAGGGTCTATGTTTGAGGCTTTACAAACTTAATCAAGAAATGATAAATCCATAGGTATTGATACATTGATTGCTCAAAGATGAAATTACTTAGGCTTTAATAAGATTATTTATTGTTGAACATATGTTGCCTTGCCTTTTTTGGATTCAAGGTAGGAATGTCTTAATAATGCATCTGATAATCCTTATTGACTTTTGGGTCAATACGTGATGCAAAAGTCAAATTATAATAAAGATATATTCCAACAGAATTGACAATGGTTCAAGATTTGAGCTAACATAAAGTATTCAAGACTCTTGTGATCTATATATATAGTCATTTGATGAGAGGTGCCTTCAAAAAAAGTGACACCATTCTTGGAAAGAATCCATGATGGCAAGTAGTTCTTTATTATGGATTTTGTAGTTGATTTCCACCGCTGAGAATTTTCTAGAATGGAATGCAATTAGATGAAGTTTGCTAACTTCTTCATATCTCCCAATGCATAGTTTGAAGCATCGATCTCCATAAAATAAGGCTTGTTGGAATGTGAATATACAAAAATTGAAGCTATTGTGAAAGCATCTTTTAAGCTTTGAAACGCTTCCTCTACTTCAAGGCCTCAATCGAACTTGTCCTTGTATGTAAACCATAAAAGTGGAGCAATGATCTTAGAGTAACTTTTAAGAAAAACTATATAGATATTTATAAATCTAAGAAAGTATTGGACATTACATATAATTTTTAGCTTTGCCCAATCGATGACTACCATATTAAGGGTTGAAATATGGTTGATACATTAGTAAGTCTAAAAGACATGATATTATATTCAAAATGTCCATACTTGGTATAAAATGTTGTCTTCCATTCATCTCCATCTTTAATACATACCAAATTATACGAGCCTTGTAGATTAAATTTTATAATGATCTTTGCTTGGTTAAGTTGATTAAGAAGATTGAATATCAATGGCAATGGATATCAATTCTTTATTGTGATTTTATTAAGACCGCGATAATCTACACACATTTGTAAGGATCCATCTTTCTTCTTTATAAATAATATGAAAGCACCAGCTCATGACTTGGAATGTTAAATAAAATTCTTAGATATATTTTCATCAATGTACTCCTTTAAAGTCACAAGCTTATTCTAAAATAAATTATAGATCGATCCAAATGGCAGTTGAGCACCTTCTTGAAGGTCAATCACACAATCATTAAGACATAGCTTTGGCAAAATGTCTATATTTTTCTTGTCAATTACATCTGCAAAATCCTTATATGCCTCTATAATTATTGTTGTAGCAGCTATAGATTCTGATTGTGGATTTGTGTAGATAACAAATATAGTGCCCTGTTTGAACGCCCTCACAAATACTCTAGCTTTGATAAATAAATATTTTTTAAGTTTTGGCTTGTCGGATAGTAGAAGCTTTTTCATAGATCTAAGGATTCTTTGATCTATTAGAAAAAATTCTAACTTTCAAGATATCCAATCTATCTATGGATTGTATTTTCGTAAAAAATACCTTCAAAAAATTAACATAATATAAGATTGGTGTAAAAATAAACTTCTTTTTTAAAGCATCAAACAATGCTTCGACTTCTTTACTCCACTTAATTTGTCTTTATAAGTCAAATGTGTAAGTGGAGTTACAACTTGAAAAAAATTCTTGATGAAGATCCAATAATAATTGACAAAGCTCAAAAAGCATTGTACAATTCTTATTATTTTTAAAATCCTTCAATCCAAGATAGTTTAAATCTTTTTTGGATCCAACATTAGCCCTACATTGGAAAAGATGTATCCTAAGAAGTCAAATTGAGTAATATAGAATACACACTTTTCTAACTTAATATATAATCTTGCATTTCAAAGTTTTTGTAACACATGACAAACATAAACTTCTTGTTTTTCTATGTTCTTAGAATAGATTAAGATATCATTCAAATAATAGACATAAAAATCATCAACAAATTCACAAAAGACGTCATTTATTACATGTTTAAAATTAGTTGGTGCATTCATGACTCCAAAAGACATGATATTATATTCAAAATACCCATACCTAGTTTAAAACATAGTTTTCTATTTATCTCATTCTTTAATGTGTACCACATTATATGTTCCTTGTAGATCTATTTTGTATAGATCTTTTTTTGATTAAGTTGATTAAGAAGTCTTAAAATCAAAAGTAGAGGATACCTATTCTTGATGGTTTTCTTGTTGAGTCTTCAATAGTCTACACATATTTGCAAAGTTCCATCTTTTTTCTTCAAATTTAAGATAAAAGCCCCAATTAGAGATTTGAAATGGCATATGAAATTTTTAGAAAAATTTTCATCAATATATTTCTTAAGTGTAGCCAATTCATTTTGTGATAGGCTATAGATTAGTCCAAAATGTGGTTGAGATCTTTCTTGAAGATTAATAGAATAATCATAAAGATAATGTTTTAAAAAATTATATAAATTTTTTTTTCAAAAATGCCTTAGAAATCTTAATACTTGAATTCTAATAATATTATTTGAAGTCTTTTCACCATTAGAAATGGGCATGGCATATATAACAAAAGATGTTCCTTCTTTTATGGTATGCATGAAAGTTCTTGTACCTACTAATAAGGATTTGGATATACTAGAATTATGTATTTCTACTTAACTTAGAAGATTTTAGATTAAATGACTAAAAAAATTAAGGTTATAAGGATAGAATATAATCTTTGTTAGGAGTTACATAAGATATCAAGCACACAGTTCCTATTGTAGCTGGAAAAACTCATTTTTTGATACATTATTTTTTTTTGCAACCATGCTTTTTATTTAATAATTATATTATTACTTTGGAAAATATTGTACAATATATTTAGCTTTTCTATAATATAAACATAAGCCCTCTTAACGTTGTCGAGTCTTTTTCTATTTTGTGAGGGATTTAAAACCTACTATATCAATTTGCATTGGTTGTGGCTTTGATGAATAAGTTTCTGAAAATTTAGGAGTTGTCATCATTATTTGACTTATTTCTCTTCAATTAAGTCTTTGTTCTTGACGTCTTTCAAATAATCAATTATTGCATATAATGACTTGAGTAATAAATTATTTTAAAGATTTTACCTTTGATATTGTCAATAAAAAATCTTTGATATTATCTTTTAACATATATCAAAATTGATTGATAAAGGCTTTGCAATTCCAATCTACATCACAAGCAAGGTTTTGGAATTCAACAGCATATATAGTGGTTGACTATGATCCTTGTCATAAAGATAAGAGCTTGATCTTTGCTACTTTTTTTCAATTATATTTTTTAAATGTAGCCATAAATACTTCTAGAAATGAATTCAAATCATAAAGAAGTTGAGAATCTTTTTTGATTAAAGGTGCAAATCAAGAGAGAGCACTTTGTAATAAAAGTGAGCCTATGAATCTGACTTGAATAAATCCATCAAGGTATTGGAAGGGATGCAAACTTAGATAGACCTTGACTTGTTGTAAAATCTTCAAAATTTTGATCTTATTCCATCAAACTTCTTAGGCATAGTAATCCTTGTCCTTGTCATATTTGTAGAAGCAAAACTTCTTGGATTTGGTTTTGAGGCCGATCTACTTACTTCCTTCAACTGCACAACTTTTTGACACAAATTTTGAACTTCTTCTGTAGGTATAGGAAAAATACCTTCATGTTTCACATTGGAAATACATGAGATTTCTTCTCTTAGAATATTAGCAAGCTCATAAAGATCTCCAATAGTTGCAAATCTATTCTCACTTCTGCTGAGAGTAGCATCTATAATCTTTCCTTTCATAAACAACTCAAACAAATTCAAAAAGTTAAATTAAAAGAGCATAATTTACAACTTTTAATATAAAATAAAATTTTTTACAAAGAGGAATAATTTACTCTCTTTATATAAAAAAATAGTATTAAAAAATAAGATTATTTGTTTAAAGGTGGATAGTTTCTAACCTTCAAAATACAACAATAGAAGTGAGGTGATGCACTCACTTCTAAAACAAGATAGAAATAGTAAGTTAACATTCTTGTCAAATTGTCAAGAATATGAATCTTGAAGAAAGAAATCTTTAATACACTCTTGTGTTACTCAAAAGAACTAGAAAGTCACTTAAGGATGATATGGTATTAAACTAGAATAGCTATTGCCTAAGACAAGAAGACTAGAAAATCTTAAAATAAGACTAAAATCTAGAAAGGTGTTGAAAAGAATGATGAAGGCTTCACTATTATCTCTATATATATTCTTAGGAACTATGTAGCAGTGTCCTATAGGACCTCCAAAACGTGTTGACTTTACAAGATACATATCTTAACATGTAAGGTAAGTATTCTATATATATGCCATATAGTTTGTTCCGCAAGCTACTAATACATGGTTAACTTGTTGACCAAGTTTTTAATCTATCAATAAATTACAAACACATGTAAAGTCAAAGTAGCATCTGTAAAGCTTCTAAGAAGCTTTTCTAGAAAATATTATGAAATGAATCTACTTTTACCTACTTCTATTTAATCATATAGGTAAACATTAGAGTAAATATTTATGTCTATGATACATACATGTGCACACAAGAGCTAATTATGGACAAAATCCATTTTTTTCAGTTCATCATTTTCAGATCATAAATTCTTGAAACTTGCATATCCTTAAATACATTTCCAAAATTATTTAAAACAATCCACTCCATTCAAAATTCCATAAAGTGTTTGAATCAATAAGAAAATAAAAAAAAATAAAAGTAACCTCTCAAAAAGCATATGGAGTACAACCAAATAAATGATATAAATCTTCACGTCTTATGACAATGTGAAACTTCCCAATCTGTTTTTGTGTCTGTCTGATCATTTTTTCATTAGGAATTATGACATTCGGAGTGAACTCTAGGGAACGCCCGGTTAGGGCAAGGAAGGATGGGAACAAGTGGGAGGGAACGCGGGACGATCCACCAAGGCCGTCACCCATTAGGGTTGCAACGCTCCCCCTGATAGAGGAAGCAAGTGTGATACACACTCTCTTTCTCCCCTGGCCTCCATCGCCAGCGTGCTCCGCAGCCCCTCCTGCGTACTCCTGGAGGTACTCCCCCTGTCTCTCCCTCTCCCATCAATTCCCCTTCCTTGCACTGTGTTCTCTACGCTTCTTCTTCTTGTGCTTGTTCAATTTTTTTTTGTGAAGGTGAGCACGGTTGTGTAGTAGTTACACTGGATCAATCTAGGGTTGTCGGCATCTAAGCCTCTTTTTATGTTGGTCTTGCGCCTTCATGGATATCGTATAGGTTTTTATGTGTCTGTGAGGATCGGAAGGCCCGATTGGAGTGCCCTCCGCCTTGATGCTTCAGTAGTTTGCATGGTGCATTGTATCAGGGTTTAGGTCTGTGGGAAAAAAAACGTAGGGTTTCTGATGGTGTTGCTCGCAGGTCTAGCACCATGGTGAAGCATAACAACGTCATTCCCAATGGTCACTTCAAGAAGGACTGGCAGAACTATGTGAGGACTTGGTTCAACCAGCCCGCACGCAAGAAAAGAAGAAGAACGGGTGAGGTTTAGGCTTTGTTATCCTCCGTCTTTTGATTATGGATTAGTTAATTAATTTAGTAATGAAATCCCACGCGTGATCAATGCGTCTACAACCATAGAGGGATTTTAGAATGCATGTCTACAGAGGACCTCAATGTTTTTTTTATTTCGAACTCATCGCGGAGGTGTTGATTTCTAAAGTACCCAATGTTTATGAACTGAATACAGTCATTGAAGCGAATGTAATGAATATATGTTAAATTGTTTCTTCGTTGGTACAATTATTTATGTGGCATGACACTGCTTAATTGTCTCTAATGCTTTGCTTATCAGCGCGCCAGAAGAAGGCTGCGGCTGTTTTCCCACGCCCTACTGCTGGTCCACTCCGCCCCGTTGTGCACTCTCAGACGTTGAGGTACAATGCCAAGATCCGTGCAGGACGCGGCTTCACCTTGGACGAGTTAAAGGTATTACTTCCTCTTTATATGTTTTCTAACCCTTTTAAGAATTTGCATCTCGCTCAGGATCGTTCTAAAACAATCGCTGATCAGTTCCAAATGTAGTATGTTACTTCTAGGTTCTCATTGCAGTATAAACATGGTTTTTGAGAGCTTAGTATTCGACTTTACGATATCGAAATCTTTTTCAAAGTGGATAGCTGAATTAGAAGAATCTTACTTCATGGAACTATAATTATAAGTTTATCCGTTTTCTGAACAAGAAAATGTATGACACTCAATCCCACTTGCGAATTGTGAAGCTTGGTAGCACTGTCAGGGTTTTTGGACAGTCATTGTCTTCTACATTCATGGCATTGTGTAATTCCTCCCTCGGTTTTTCTGACGACTACATGTCTTGAACCAGGCTGCCGGTATCCCAAAGAAGCTTGCACCCACCATCGGTATCGCTGTTGATCACCGTCGCAAAAATCGATGCCTGGAAAGTCTTCAGGAGAATGTCAACCGACTTAACACCTACAGGGCCAAGTTGGTTGTCTTCCCCAGACGCGCTCGCAAGTCGAAGGTACGAGATTTTTTTATTTTTATTCTTCTTTTACTATAGAATGGGAGATTTTTAAAGTAGCGGTACAGTTGCGGGTCGTGAGTCACGTAATGTGTGTTTTTTTTTATTTTTCAGTTGTATTGGTGAGGAACCTTGATGCGGTCGTCAGTAGAAATGTATCATTGTTTTCATCAGCCATTGGTGCTATTTCAGTACTTGTATCCTGGTTAACAATTACGTCTTGTTTATTCAGGCTGGAGATGCAACCGCCGAGGAGTTGTCGAGTGCAACCCAGGTTACTAGATCAGTCTTGCCAATCGTTAAGCCCCGACCTACCGTAGAGATCGTATCTGTCACTGATGAAATGAAGTCCCAGAAGGGGTACTACAAGCTCCGTCAGGAGAGGATGAACGAGAGGTTGGTAGGCGTTCGTAAGAAAAAGGCCGAGCAGGCTGAGAAGGAAGAGAAGAAGTAAACTGCTAGCGACAGTGGACGCTGACTGGCTTAATGTCCTTCGCCTGCTTCATGTTCAGTGCACTTCACCTGGCTTCTGGTTAAGTAAAGTTGAACAGGGTACCATTGCTTATTACAGTTGATGTGTTTGGTTTCTTTATGTCGCCATTTGCATCCTATGGTTGACATGACACGAAAGGACACGGCATATGATTCGTATCTTTGTGCCAGTTGCTCAACAACCCTGCATTGGTTGCTTCGATAATATCGGTTGCTCAAACAAAACGGCTTTAAAACTCGTCAAAGGTCATGCGTACGGTATCGGAGTATTCAGGCAAGAATGTTAAACTGCTTCGAACTCAAGCATGAGCTGCTCACGTTACAACTCCGCCTCATCAATCGAGAACTTTATCAGAGACTGTCGAGCCTTCAGGGTATTTTTGAAGCGGGCATGTTCTCTAGATCTATCAGCTACATTGCAACGATGAGTTAAGTAATGCTATGTCCGACAACTCTGCATAATTCTCCGCTGGATTCCCTACTACTCAATACGAACACATGCATTAATGCCCATCTGAGAGCTAGTGACGTACGCCGGGAGCCTAGCCGTGAACACGTGTATACGTGGAACTGTAACAAGGTTCTTCCTAGTGTGACCGAGTAAATTTTCACTGAGAGTTCGTCTCTTCAGCTGAGAAAGTGGATTATCTGTTTCTGCTGACTCGGCATGTTACTTACTGAAGCACTTCAAATCTCATGCAGACCATAACTTGTTCACTGCTCGATTGTGTCCGAACTAAAAACATCTTCAGGTTATATCTTTACGTCATGAAGTGCACGCGATAGAGCAGAAACGATTTCCAACTTCACGTCTACGTCATTAAAGAAGACGTGAATTGTATCATGTATAGTATACAAACTACCTGCACTATTGAGGGGTTAAATTTGCCTTGATATCTCTCCCTTTGCTTTTTGTGTTACAACAGTAGTATACAGCATTTCAAACAAAAGAACTTCAGTTTTCATCAAAGAAGTAATTCTGCAAGGCAGTCTACACGTATCTAAATTGTCCACGCCCTCGCGTATGAAAAATAATAAATTAGTTTTGAAAGTATTAAGAACTTATTTTTCGAAAAAGGGGAAAAAGATAGAATAGAAAGGAAAGCATCGCGACGCAAAGTTTTTTTAAAAAATCGACATCTCACATTTTAAATAGAAATCCTCATTCAAATGATAATTCATTTATTGTGGAAACAGATCCGATTGGACGGAGTTCGTGAACCCTAAAGCCTCAAGATAGGCTTTCAGAACCCGGCGGTGGTGAAACCGACCGAAGGCTGAGAGCGTTCTCACCGCAGAAAAGAGAGGACGCGTCTAGATTTGGAGAGCAACGGTTCAACGGACACAAACGTCGAGTTCGAAGAAGCGAACAGCAACGCCACCATTGGCACAGTTCACATGTTTTCCGAGAAGATAATCTCGAATCGGGCAAAAAGCTCCGGTCAAAACTGCGCTGCTGTTGAGCTTCCAGCGAACACTCCACTGGAGACTCTTGTGGTCATTTCTATACCTCATCCGCTTCTATCTATGTGGTCCCCTCAAGGACCAGCTCCACGGCAACGGAAAACATGATACTTCGCTCATCCACATCCATCCACGCCATCGTCTCGCCTCTCCCATGTGTGGTCCTGTGGGATCAAGCGCGGTGCTCTGATTTTGCAACTTGCAGATTGTTCATCTTTCTCGACCTTTTTTCAGGTCCGTCCCCCCCCCCCCTCCCCCCCTGTAACTGCATCGTCGACGTTTTGTCGCCCCGCCGCTCGAACCGGGACTTGCGCTACTGGATTGGGCGTCCAGAGGGTCCTATTTTGTTGCATTCGGTGCGTTTAGTTGCGGTGTCGTGCAGGCCCCTTGCAGATTAAGTTGGTGTATTAGTCGCGGTGTGTCTTGCTTGCGGTTGGTTTCCATTGAGGTCGTGGTGAGGTCGAGGTGAGGCTTCTTTTTGTAGGCAGTTGTATTGTGTGTGTGTTGTCGCTGATTCGATCGCTGTAAACAGTGTTTAAGCTCCGCAGTTGTGGTACTTTGCGATGTTAAGATGGATTGGTTCGCTTGTGTGTGTTGGATGGAGTGATCCACCCGGTATTTCGTCGTTGGGATCGTTTCGCAGTTTTTTTTGAGATATTGCTGAATAACGATGTCTGCTTTCTATGGTTGTTTTAATCTTGAATATCTAAAAAATTAATAACATTTCTTTGTGTTTGTAGTTCTTGCAAGAAAATGCGTGGTAGAAATATTGAGATCGAACGAGTGTGTGGTATGCGAATTTTGTGAAGAGAGAGAAGCTGTATGTATGTAATTTTGCATTGTTCGTATGTCATCGATGTTTACGTTTCTTTCTGTTTAGGCACGTGTAACACTTAATTGGTGATGCTCGCATCTTTAATCAAGTTTGGCTTAGCAGGGTTTTACCGGCTGCAGTACTGATTTTGTGACGTAGTGCGATCAAGATGCCGGCTCCAGTGGTTGACGATGAGTACAAGACGTGTATAGAGAAGGCTCGCCGGGACCTACGAGCTTTCATAGCTGAGAAGAACTGTGCTCCTCTCATGCTCCGCCTTGCGTACGGTGTCTTAACCTTTTGATGTATTGACGACCAAATTGGCGCATGATTACCGTTTGACAACCTCGTTAGTCTGGACTTGAGGCTTGTGACGCTCTGAGTAGAAATCTCCTCTTCTCTTTCGCTGTTTCGTAGCCTAATATGCCTTTCTCTCGCAGCTGGAACAGAGTACTACTGCCGTAATTTACAGTGTTTTCCCTGTTCGTAACTTTGGTCCACACCTTCTCGACGAGGATTGTAATGATTAGCTCTTGTATCCTAGTAGCAATGCAGAAAGATTAAATTCATTTTTTCGAGTGGTTGCACTTCAACAACCAATTTAAGTTCATAGATTTTACTTCGTTCTCTCTTTCTTTTGTCTATAAAAATTCTAAGTAGTTGGGAGTTGAACTCTGGTTATTTTGTTGGAACAAACAGATACAAACTTTATTGCACTTGCTGCTAGCTATTGTTGGCTTTCTTTCAAACCAGATCTGTGGAAGCTTTATGTAAGATTTCTGCAACGGAATTATTTGGCAGTGTTTAGGGTCCGATGACATCATTACCATGTCTTCTTCTTAACTACATCCGAAATTAAGATTTGAACTTTTAATTCTGACGAGCTGTGAGCACGTAATTACGTTGGGACTTTTTTTTGTTGTAGTTCTTAATTTTACAATGATACATTGTGTAGGTGGCATGATGCTGGCACGTATGACGCAAGCACTAGGACTGGAGGTCCGAACGGTTCCATTCGTAGCGAGCGCGAGTATACCCATGGAGCAAACAATGGCCTTAAAATTGCCATAGATTTTTGCGGTAATGAGAACCATTTGTACACTGTTTGAAGTGTTTACACGAATGTGTGTATATATATATATATATATATATATGTATGAGAGACTTGAACACAATGTTTTGTATCTTAGCCCAGGTGTCTGATGAGTTGTTTTTGTTTTTTGGGGTAACAGAAGCCATGAAATCGAAGTACCCTGTCATCACATACGCGGATCTTTACCAGGTTATCTTTCTGATCTTTTCTCTAGGTTTGGAGCATATCAAGTTTCTGCTACGATGCATATGTAGCTACACTCGGATCGCACATCATGGGATGATGTTAAAAAATTTCACTAATTTGTTTTCAATTCTCATACGCTTTGTCTGAGATTTCTCTATGACTATGTCGTGCAGCTCGCAGGCGTGGTGGCTGTTGAAGTAACTGGAGGTCCAACTATTGAGTTTGTTGCTGGGCGCAAGGTAACTCCATACCTTAAGTGATTGTTACTTTTTAATTTGTGATCCAGTGGACAAGTGCACGAGGTAGGAGTATTTATTTTTTGAAATTCAGGGGGAACCCATGGTTTTGAAATGTAGGTGCAACTTTTTTTGATTGCAGGATTCAGTTGCCACTCCACCCGAAGGGAGATTGCCCGATGCCAAAAAAGGTATGTGAATCGTGTATTGGTTCGATATCTTAGTCACCAGGTTGTTCGTTATAGTACTTTACCGGTTCCTGACTTAAGTTTTCAAAATGGTCAATATCTAGCAAACATCAGGCTTTTATAACGTTTCGAGCTGTAAATTTCTTCGTCATACGATTTGTCATATTCTTGTCAAGCAGGACCCTCGCATCTGAAAGATATCTTCTATCGCATGGGACTGTCCGACAGAGACATAGTTGCTTTGTCTGGGGGTCACACTTTGGTAATTAACTAAACCTTGACAGCTTTGACATGTGTTCTTTAGATACATTGATACATAATCATGGGTGTTGATGCTAATTGGATGTCTATGAAATGCAGGGAAGAGCTCACAAGGATAGATCTGGATTTGAAGGTCCATGGACATCCAACCCACTCAAATTTGACAACACTTACTTTCAGTAAGTAATCTCTAATGATGAGTGAGGGTCAAGTTTTGGTCATTGTATCGATTGCAGACAAGTGGCATGAAAGTACTTTGTCTGCAAGCATTCGAAGCGTGGATGACTGCTCATTTGGACGTTGCTTCCTCTCGGTTTGTTAGAAACAAGAACATATTCGTTCTTGGTAGTGGATAGCAGTGTTTTAGACAGTGTGTGAATGCCGAGATGAATGTTGGCTAGTTTTGTTCCCAGCTTGTGTATGCAGCATAGTCTGAATTTTGGACCGTCTTTTCTGTACTTGTTCTTTGTAAGTCTGCTTAATGGAGACAGGAGGATATTAGTCAGCTCTCACGACTCTTTTAACTTTTCGGATGTGACTAAAACCTAGATGGTTATGTGCAGGGAATTACTGAGGGGAGGGTCAGATGGCCTCTTGCTCTTGCCCACAGACAAGGCATTATTGGAGGACCCTGCTTTTAAGCCATGGGTGGAGCTTTATGCCAGGGTAAACTTCCTTTTTTAACTTTACTTGGTCTTTAGTATTTTGCAACTAGCTACCCCTCGGTGTACGTGGTTTTTAGATTATCCTTGAAGTGCGTCCTTCGTTGTTTTGGTACTGTAACTTTTGCAAGTTGGTGAGGGTTTGTTACTTTACCATGTTTTCTGTTTAGACAATATGTTTAAAAATGTATCTGTGTGATTGAATGACTATTTATAATCATATTACAGGATGAGGATGCTTTCTTCCGTGATTATGCTGTATCTCATAAGAAGCTATCTGAGTTGGGCTGCAAAGACACCTCTCCTGCTTTCTCAACTCAGTCTGCCAACAGCAAATCAGCGGTAGAAGCTTATCAAAGTTCAACTGCCGTCCTTGGACAAGCTGCCGTTGGTGTGGGAGTTGCAGCTGCGGTTGTCGTGCTAAGTTACATCTACGAGGCCAAGCGCAAAATCCTCAAGTAAACTGGAAATATTTGTAGAAACGATGAAAAAGTCGGACATTTGTTCATCTTTCAATGCTTCAAATGCATGAAGCTCTGGAGATTGTTGAATTTGACCGAAGGTGAGCTTATGCTAAAAGACAGGCGCGTTTTAGTCGTACTTGCAGCGGAGACACAAATTATACTACGGAGGTGGTGGTACACCTCAAAGTACATATTCTGCGCGTTTTATGGTAGTCATTGTGATGTCCTGCTGGGAGTTCTGATGTCATGGTGCTTAGAATACTTCGAAGTTGAGTCCAGGAGATGAAGAATCTCAAAATTATTCTTAGCATTGTCTACATGTTTTCTAATATTTGCTACTCTAATGACAAGGCAGTTGTGCCAATATTTGTCTGACTAACGATGTCATTCGCTGAGCAACATCTGAATATTTTAAGGACCTAAATGCATACACGTTGTGATGTGGCGTTTGAGTTTTTATAGCGCACATGCCGTTTATTCCATTCTCAAGTGAAAAGTTGATTGTGAGGTCGAGATCTAACATAGCTTGCCTCACCTGATCACTATCACAGTGCATTTGCGGTGACGGCTATTTTTCAAGACTAAAGTTTCGACGTGTAAAAGCTAGTTAAACCACATTTGGTACTTAAATCCTCTAATGAGTGCGCCTTGGGGTCAGATCGTGAAAACCGGACAGATCCTTATCTCATTCATTGTTAAGTGCTACATGGCCGTTGCTTTTTAGGATGGTCTTGTTGATCCAGACGAAATTATTTTTGTGTTACCTACTGGATAATGAAAACGGTAAGCTAATCCTTGGGAGGTGGGTCACTTATATCTCCTGGACTCAGCATGGAATGATTCTACCAAACCCACCGTTTTGGACTGTAGCAACGATGGTAAATCAGCGGACAAGCTGAGGCTCTGGGAAGGTTTTTTTTCTCTCGCTCTCACCCACACCTTCAGGAGCTGGGTAGATGCTTCTGCGTGGGTCCTTATTGGCAATTTTCGCTTAAAAGCCTGCTTTATAATATTGATTTTACACTAATGGTCAGAATACCAGGTGTCCTCTCGAAACCATGAACATCAGTACATGGTATTTGTGATTCAATCTGTTCTGGTCTTCTTCTTCTTCCAATAATGAGTCAATCATCGCAACTTTGACATTACAGCCAAATTACTTAAGCTCAGAACATCCTCCACTTCTTAAATTCCTCGTGTATCCAAAATACTTTTTTACTGGCAAATTATCAATGTGTTGAATAAAGGACATGAATGAGTCCTTCCCGAAGCCGAAAGCTTGTTCCAGCTTCACCAATGTAAACATCAATTCGAACCCTCCTACAGACGTCTTGATAGCAAGATTTAAGAAGAAATACACAAATCCTTATAATCGTATACAACAACCCGGATTTTTACTAGCAATTGGTGAGCAGTATCCAATCATCCATTCTGCTTCATCATCATTATTACTGTAACGGAGTAAGATTACACATGACACAATTTCAGCCATCGGAGAGGGGATGGATTTGCCAGTTTAGAACACAAAAGGAATCAAGCATGCTTGCGATATTGGACCCATCGTCCGCACGCGCTGTGGTACCGACATGGGGTTATGGCTCGATTCCACGCGGCTTTTGAAGATGCGGAAAGGTGGTGGATCGATCAAAACGTTGATTCTTGCGGAGTGGGAGGAATTGGGTTGCTGCTTGCAACACTCTGTGTAGCTGGCATGATTTCGAGGAAGAGGAGGAGCAACGTTTGGTTGTGTTGGTGTCGTCGTTGTTTTTGGAGGATTGTTAGGTTTGAAGAAGATCGACGGGATTTTTGAGGTTTGAGGTGGGTTGTGTAGTTTTTGAGGTGGTAAGGATTCGTCAGGGGCTTGTGTTGGATTTAGGGGTTGGATGGGGGGAGTGTGTCCCGGCTGCTTGCGGGCCAGTGCTCAGGAGGATAAGCTTTATCATCATGGGTATCAGTATCCTCCATTCCCTCAGCAGCCTCTGCCGCGGCCAGTGCAGCAGCGCCCTCGGCCTCAAGTGCAGCAACAACAGCAACAAAAACCGCAGCAGCAGCAAAGGACGAGGGAGGAGGACCTTGCTCGTTCAGATGAGGCGAGGGCTAATGCAGCTATAGCTGCTCAGAAACGGTACTAGTTTCTCTCTTGGTATTGTTGTGTGTTAAACCTGATCGAAGTCAGGGCAATGTAACTTGCAAACTAGTTGAAATATTAGGTGGGTGCTGGTGATAAATATGTGATTAGGCTCTTGTTTGAAATTCATGAAATATTTATTTGGGTTTGTATTAAAAAATTGGTTAGTGCTTTTCCTGAAGCACTAGGGTTCGTATGTGTGAAGTGGGGTTTGCTTGGGTAGTGGTGCAGTTTGGAGTTCTTCGTTCGTTTTTGTTGCTTATTTAGTGCTCATGATTTGAAAATGTAATGTAATCGCTGAGCATATGCTGCGATCTGATCATTGCTTGTTTGGATGCAACACAGAGCGGAAGCATTCGAGAAGTCGGCCGGGGGAAGAGCTGCTCGAACCGCAATCAAGGCTGCCAAGGCTAATCCTGCTCTTAGCAGAAACGATACAGCTGTTCATGACTGGTTGCATTGATACATGATTCGTCTGAGGTATTGTAAGCTATGGCGATCTTTGTTCAATACCTCAGACGAATTCAGTGTGCAAGCTTTGCTTTGCACATATCGCGAGTATGACTCGCGATCTTGCTGTAAACATTAGATTAGATTAGATAGATTAGATTCTCTTCCAGTGCATCAACAAATACCTAGTTTGGACTGTCACTATGCTAGTTCGCTGAAGATGACAGGAAGCAAACATGAACATTGAAGGGAGAGGATTTGAACATGTATTACGAAGGGCTGTGTGATCTCAACAACACTTAGAGCAACCTGCTTCAGTGTATGCCAAGGCTTAACTGATGTCAATGTACTTCTACACCTGGAAAGAAAACCACCGTCAAGACGCATCAAAAGGAGCTCAAAAACCAATATAGTACGTGGTACAGGCAAGCTTTGCTATATGTCTCGTTCATTGATAATGAGTTAATTTTTATTTTATTTTATTTGTGGGAGGCCTTCCGAACAGGATGTTTCAAAGAGAATTTCTTTCATCCTATGAAATAAACTAACATAACTAGATATCTTTCTGGATGATATTGAGGGCTGGTACAAGTTTTGGAGTGACTTTGCATTTCTTCACTTCTTGTGTGAGCCCTGCAGACCTTCCAGTTTCAAAAATGATCTTGGAATTTCGATAAACAGATTTGCTACTTAAATCTCCAGAATTAAATTTGTTCAAAGAGGAATTTTAGAGAAATTTTCTCAAATCTCAAGTTATTAGGATTCCATCACTAGATGTTTTTTTCACGATTAACAGAACACATTCTAAAGACGATGTGTGAGGTTTAGTTACAATAGGCTTTTTGTTCTATCAATCGGTGAACTGGGATTAATTTGCAGTTGAATAAAGCTGGAAATTATCTTCAGAAGAAGTTGAAATCCATTGGTCTCACTTAAATACAAATTCAAAGCATCTATTTCAGATTTGACTTCAAGTTTGTGATCCACATTTAATGACTTAACTTCGAAGTACCAGATTTTTCAACAATTCCGTCCAACTGGTCACAGCTAGCTAATCTTTCTGTGAGAGTAAAAGCTAGGTAATTAGTGTGTGATGATGGACAAGTAGTCATCATGTGTAATTGCTCATTATCGACATTTTCCACCTTGCGTGATGAAACACTATAAACTACATCAATATTTTTTTATTTGTTGAACAAAATTTCAACACGCCAATTTAAAGAACATTCTACAGCAAAGCTATAAAATTTAATCATATCCAAACAAATGTGTATTCCTTTAGCTCTTAATCATGTGATTACAAAGGTCCTCTTTAAAAAAGAAAAGAAATTAAATTTAGTTTTTCATTCGAGTATAAATGAGATTTCTTCTTTCTAGCACATAAAAAGATTTGAATATCATATTGTTTTACTTTATAAGCAAAGTATCAAAATATATTACTTCAATAAAAATATGTATGGTATTATGATGTCATTTTTGCTATATTATTTGTTTGTCTCTTTGTTAAATGGAAGTTATTATCTTCAATCATGGCTATCTAAATATGTGACCATAACTTACATAAATTTTCTTTAGTGTGCTATTACACATCAAAATAGTTATCAATTTTAATGATGTTTTTTATTGTATCTGATTTTTACAACTTGTAAATATATTTGGCATATTGAATTTAAGAAATAATACTGTTGAAATTAAGAAATTTTTTGTGTAAAAGATATATTCCAGTAGAAACAATTTTAGACATTTTTTTTTAGTGATTAAATTAAATTTACTAAACTTATAAATTCGATCATTTTATTTTCAGTAATTAATTAAAACTTTTAATTTATCTAATCTTTTTATATTTTTAGAACTCATGCATGTGTACAATTCATCTCATGTAACCATTATTCAATTTAAATATTTTTTACTTTCAGATGATTTTGTCCTACTTGCTTCAATTTTTTACTATTTATATTATTAATTGTAGTTTTTTCCTCCAAGACCTTTGCTTTTCAATTTAACAACCCAATTGAAAAGAATAGTCCTGTTTCTTTCTAGTGCCATATTTACTTTTGTTGTTTTCTAGTATATTTTTAATTTCATGTAATTTGCATAATAAATATAAATTTTATTTTGTCATTAATTTTTTTTTAAGTACTTTATTTTTCAATTCATCTTGATTTAAAGAAATAATTGTGTGGTACTAATTTATATGCAAAATCTACATTTGACATTGATATTTAGTTGATTTGGAACCTTCACAATATATATATATATATATATATATATATATATAGTTGATATTTATGCTAGTTATATTTTAGAATTGTCAAATAAGTTGGTGTAGGTCTAAAGTAATCCTTTAATCTTAAGATTGTATTATGTCATTTGACACCTAATTATCCATAGTAGCAATTTTATCTCAGAATTATGCTTGCAGTAGATATACTGCTTCAAAGTGATTTGTACTCAAATCCCAGCACCAAAGAGTTTTTAGAGATTTTATGTAGGTTTGAGAAATTATTCCAAATATAGGTTAGATCTATATGTGCACCATGTTGTTACAATAACTTCTCTAAAAAGTTTTTTACATCTACAAAGTCCTTATAGAACCATCTTGTACTTAGACACTTGCTTTGCAAATCTCTTAGTCCTTAAAAACCTCCTGCAAGGCTTTTTCACTAGTCGGTTTATATAGAATCAAACTTGAGACCATTCTTAATCTTATTAATGTTTTTCTTTTATTTTTATCTAAATTTAAGACTCAATTTATTTGTCCTTAGAAATAGCTACTCTGGTATCTTTCTGCTGTATAAGTTAAATGTCTTTTTAGTCTTCTTGCTTTCTTCGTAGGTCTCTCTCTCTCTATATATATATATATATTCTTTTCTTTTCTTTTCTTTTCACAATTTTGTTTAAATTCATATCCTTAATACATCCCACAAGAACAAAACACAAACCATATTGCTTGTAGTACTTTGTGGGAGAAATTGCACACCATTCTGTCACAGAAGTTTACTGAAATTTATAATTTATATTTGAATTGTAAAAGACACATACATACATACATATATTGGTTTCTAACAAAACCACATAACATGTCTTGAATATCCTTCTAAACATTATTGGAGCTATGTCTCTCTAAATGTAATCTTATTTAAAACAAAAAGAACAAAAAAAAGACTGTGAATAGAAAATTATCTCATAGATGTTGATTAACTCTTACTTTATTTCATTTTAATATGTTGCAAAAATATTTCAAAAAAAGGATATGTATATATATATGTACAGCATTTTTGGGAGTTTTATTTGCATTTGATCTTAATTACTACCATTTTTTCTTGCAAATCTAAATTAAAAGATTTGACATATTGCAAAATAACAAATATATATATATATATATATATATCCTTCCCTCTCAAGTTTTACAAAATTCGAAACTTATTCCAAGATCTTCCTATTGTCTTTTGTATCGTTGATGTTATTTATCAGATGGGGGTTGGAACAAATGCAAAAATAAATAAATAAATAAATAAATAAATTCGTGTATCAAACGGAGGGCTTGCTCGATCCAGTTTGGATTAGGTCAGCTATTAGAACACTGTGCCCAGATGGGGAACACGGAGCACATTCACGGGTGAACGTCTGGCACAAGTGTGTAAAGAATGAACCCATCATGCCTGCCCAAATACTTCACTTGTCACAAGAATGGTTGCTATGTGTTGATCATTTGCACATCAGAAAACCCATAAGAAACATCCATCCATCCATTCATCCATCCATCCATGGCTCCAAACAGGCAAACAAGACAAAGAAGAAAATCCAAAGGGGGTTGGGTAGAGCCGTCGCCTGAGAGTGATAGTAACATTCCATTGTGGCACCCTATGTCCTTTTTCAACACAGCGTAAAACAAATCATCCAATTTCTACAAAAAGATAAAAATAAATAAAGTTTTTTGGAAAAAAGACAAAAGAAAAAGCTGAAGTGGGCAACAAAGCCATCCCCAGCGTTGGATCCACGTGGCCAGAGTTGGGACCTGACTAAGAGAGTGGCATGTGAAATTAAGAAGGCCAAGCAGGTGTGAACAGAGATCCATTCGTTAATCCGTTACAGGGGGTTGGCACGTTCTGGACCCCCCCCCCTTCGATGAGGGACGGTGTGAAAGGGGTCTAGCCCCATTTTGGATGTCTCCCATCATGGTTTGGGATGGATAGAAGGGTTTTTTTTCATTCTCTGTATGGTGCAAATTCAAAGCCAGTCACAGTTGGAAGGGTTGTCTATTAAGCATGAAGTTGACTTGGGACTTGACGCTTGACGTGGATTTGGTTGGTGCACGTTTCATTATTGTAATGGAAGAAGAAGAAGAAGAAGACCCATCCACCTATTCATCCATCCATTCATTCATATCTTCATCCAATTAATCACCCAGCCACTCATTCATCCATCCATCCTTGTCAAGGGTGGAAGTAATAGTTTGCTTCTTTTTCCTTCTACTATTCTTGAGAGGAGTGGATTATGCATTGTCCTTCTCCTTTAATGGATTGTTCAATATGGAAGATGGTTAGAAAGGATTATTTTGGAGGAAATTATAGTCTAAAAAGAGATCTAATTGTGGAGATGGACGGAAGAACATGAATTTTATAAGAATTTATCTCTCTCTCTCTCTCTCTCTCTCTCTATATATATATATATATATATATATTTAAAATAATAACTAATAATATCTAAATATCATTAGTAATTAATTTAATGTTATTTACATCTTGTAATTTTTATGTATATATATATATATATATATATATATATTAAGAAGCACATTATAAAATAAATTTTCAATTTGATATTCAGTTTAATTTAAAGTATGTTATTATTATATTAAAAATTATAAAATATAGACAATTGTTAAGATATTCAAAATTTCACAATTAAATATGCATATTTTCTACATGTTTTGGCTAAAGGTTTATATATATATATATATATATATATATATACATATATATGATTTCTATATAAATTATATATTCTTATAAAAAAAAATTGAGGATATAATTCTAATTCCTAATGGAAGAAGATATTATATTTAATTTCAATTCAAAAATATGTTAAAAGAAAGAAATGTAAGATTTTGAAGTAGATTCTTTTTTCAATAAATTCAATCTTTTTCTCTTATTGATTGCCAGTAACTTTTTAATAATCCTCCAAAAATTTAGAAAGTTTTATAAAACCTAGATATTATCATTAGTGGTATAGAGTGATGTTGTCTTTGACTTTTTGCATCTTTTGAGAAAAGAAAAGATATTCAAGTTAATAAGACAAGCCATTTTTATGACAATCAACTCATCTATGCTATGATTTTAGCCAGATATACAACTAATTTATTAAGTGGTAACATTAAGATCTTAATTTTCTTTATTATAGATGTAAAAGAGAGTCACTAATTTATTCTAAAATTATTTTGGCAAGAATAGACATCAATCTTTTTTTTTAATGCTTTTGAATTATCAAAAGTTTCATACTTGGTGGATGTTGTTGTGTTTAGATTTGCCACGTTTGATACACCTTTTATTGCATGCTAAATTCTTTTATTAGAACTAAAGTATAGTGTGACAAATAGCATTTTTTACATTTTATCAATGAGGTTATTGTTACCATTTTGACTTTGGATATCAAAAGTTTTCATTGCTTAACAACTTTCTATACTTGTATCAATGTTAATTATTTCAGAAATATTCATTTTAACAATGGCTATAATTATTTGTCTATCTATACTAATTTGATTTATAATATTTTTGTAGATGTATTTTATGGTATTTGAGTTTATCAGAGCATTTACAAAAAACTGTAAATTGCCACACTATGTCAAGGTTTTTAATTAATTGGTAATTAAAAAAATTAATTACCAATCATTTAAATTTTTGGAATAATTTTTTTAAAAAAAAAAAAAACTATCTTATTCTGCCCTTTCTATTTGGGAAAGAATCCATTCTATCATCATAATATGTTCCCTCATTGCTTTTTTTTTGTATAAGAAATTAATATCTTGTTGTATGATATTGGAACAAAAAAACCTTGTTGTTGTTCAATCTTACTTGTTCCTATTTGTAGGAGTAAGATTGAACTATTTATATTATTTTTTTTGACAATTATCTATTGTTTGTTGAAAATGTTTCTTAGATTTTTAACAAGCTAATTAACTTATGATAAATAATCAAATTAGATTTTAGATACTTTTATTAGTGCATATCTATACAATTAAGTGCTTGGTGTAGTAAAACGTAATATTGCAAGAATAGGAGAAAAAATCATTTAGTTTTTGCACATATCCTCTTCTTTGTACAGATAATTGTCAAAAAAAATAATATAAGATTTGGCAATAGTAGGAGAAGTGATTATTTCTTTAATGCTTTTCTTTCAATTCTTGTAGAATTGAACTGATTATTTTTCTAATAAAATTAGCAAAGTATTATGTCACCATTCATATTTCTCTTTAGTTGAAAAACCATGCTTATCTATCTATATTTAGGATTAGAATACTTATTCCAAGAATTTATCACTAACATAGGTGATTTAGAAGTTGTGACTAGTTTTGTTATGTTTAGAATTTGTCATGTAATTATACATATTGCAATGTACTAATTAGGTCTAATGAATATTAATAGTGTCTTTTGATCCCAATTAAATTATTCATTATTAGAAGTGTATTCATTGACAATTCATTTTTTTAATCTTATTTTGAAGTATTTATTTTATTTTCTATTTTAACTAATTAAGATTGGTGAAATTTTATTATATTATTTTATGCATAATAAATAACTTTGAAATTTTAAAAATTATTTAAACTATTGATTGATAAGAGATTTTTAGATAATATATATAAAAATATTTACATATATTAATTTTTATATAATTATATATATATATATGTAATTATATTTTTTTAATATATTTTATGATTATATACTCTCACTCTGAAATATAAAAATACATTAATAAAAACTTAAGATTTGTTTAAAAACATTTAGAAATATAGAATAACATTTTTTCATTCAAATTCTATTTATAGGAATGAAAAACATACCAAATATCAAAAGACTTGCAAAATTAGAAATATTTTAAAAACGTATATTACGAATTAACATCAGATTTTTTTTAAAAGAAACTAAAAATTCATATTTTATTTTAATTAATTTTAAATTTTTAAATTTTTAAAATAATTATTATGATTTTATATAATTTTAATGAATTCATGATTAAAATTTGCATAACTGATGACTTATTTTAATTATTGAGAAATGAATAAATTCAGAACTCAATGTACATAGATCTTTTATTGAACCTTTTAAGAATAATCTTGTATTTCAGTTTGATCTGGTTTTTATTCTCCTTTTTTAATTCTGAAATTAACTAAAAACATTAATCATGAAGAATTTTAGTAGCTTAAGACAAAGCCAATACGTTTTTGTATAAATAACGCCTCTTAATATACATATGTTTATACATATTATAAAATTTATAAGTTTTTTTAATAGTTTTAAAAATATTATAATATCTTATTATTATTTATTTAAGGTAGTGAATAAAAATGTGTTGGATATGAACTTTACTATTATGTAAAACGTCTATTTTTTTTGGATTTTTTTGAAATATCTTAATTTTAAGGTTCATTTTTTATTGGATAGTTATTCTTTTGCAAAAAAAACTTCTACTTTATTGCTTAGCAAGTCTCATTGTTTCATTAATTTTCATATATTAAATTTCTGTTCAGACATGTAGTATTTAAATTATAAACATGTAAATTGGATTTTAAAAATTAATCTCATGAATAAATTTATAAGCTAATGAAATTGATTTTAAAAGAATAGACCTATAACTTGAATTTTCATTTATTATATGGAATAGAATTTTAAAACATAACAAATGACTTATAAAAAAGTAAATAAAAGTCGGATAAAAAATTATCAGTTCTTTGTAGTACATATATATTTTAAAATATCATTATTTGTTAATACTTGATCTATTTACTTGCATTGTAATATGCTATCAAGCATCACATTACAAGGTTCCATTTTTGTCTAATTTATTTACTTCTTTATATTTCCTTGTAGGCAAGAATGACTCATATTGTACAACTTCAAACAGAAAGTCTTAAAATAAATTTCCTCTGTATAAACAAGAATGAAAAAAGGGTCAAAAGTAAAATCAAAAGCTAGTGCATTTCTACACCAAAAAACCAACACCATAAGATTTTTTAAAGAAAAAAACAAAATCCCAACACACACAAACCTTTATCCACATGCATATGAATAAACAAATAGAAAAAAACAAAAAACAAATGATTTGTAGCACTGTATTATAACCACCAACAGAACTGGAGAGAAATCACCTCAGAAAGATGCAGAAGCATACTGTAAGTACTGATCCAGAAAGCACTATTTCTGAAAGAATTGAACTCCTCAAGTGGAAGGATGAGGATGTGCAAGGGGGTGGCAATACATCAAGCATGACAAGAAGAGCAGCAACAAACCACCACCACCACCGCCAACACCCCCCTGAGGTCAGAATGGCCATGGCCATACCACAGAGTGAAAATAAAGGCAGGATGATGCACATGGATTTCCCAAGCATCTTCTGAATATACATCTTTACAGGGAAATAATAGTGAATATTGGATGAAGGGTTAAGGGAAGGGAGAGTTGCAGACCCAGGCTAGCAGGCATGCATCATGAGAAGCAAGGAACAAATGTAAAGAAAGGGAGGGGCAGAGGGTGTATTGGCTTTTACTTTGCATTTCCTGTACCCACATCCTCATATCTGCAACTCCATCATACCCCCCCCCCCCTTTCCCAAGCCTGCTAGAGCAGCAGCACACTGTTGTTTAATTCCATGTTCACTTACACTTGAGCTGAAATTAAAACAAACACTCAGCTACAACCCTATCATTTGCCCCACCCATTTTCTTTCTATATTTTGACACTTCTTTGATGCCAGCATTTCTCACTGTACCCTCACTGACCAACCCATGTTTTGGGATGCTTGGGAGCATTGATCAAATCAAGCAGCAAATCCTGCAAGTGGGAGCTCACCAAGACAATGGGTGTGGGGAACAGTACTGGGAATTATTGGCAGTCAGGTACCTTGGTTGGGGTTGGTACTTAGCCCCTGGAAGTGGCTTAACTACCATGGAAGGCTTGATTGATGACATTAAGTGGGCCTCCGGTGGGGCGGAGAAAGGCCCATTCAGACCATTCATACGCTCAGGCAGTTACTCACTCCGGTGTAAGTAAATAGCCAGGGTGGGGAGGGGGGGTTTTATAAGGAGGGAGGCTGCGAGAGGACCTTCCCTTTTCTTTTCTTTGCTTTTGCATAACTTGCTTCTGCCACCTTCCTGCCGCCCTGATCACACTGGGCTCTCTACTCCCTACCACTCCCCCCCCCCACCTTATAAATGCCGCAGCGACACACCCTGAGCCTGGGCTAGCTGTCGATAGACCTGTTATAAATTTCTGCAGCTGGGTACCTGGACGGGTGGGACGACATCCTAGCTGCCGAGGAAACTCGTGCACTTTGAGTGGAGGTCGCGAGGAGGAGGAGGAAGTGGAGCTGGTGGTTTGTGGCGCCAGGAGCCCTGGTGTTTCGATCTGTGAGCCTTGTTGTAAGGGGACGTGATGCGTGACTACATGACGTTTCCGGATTATTTTTACCAGCAGCATTATGCAACTCTGCGTGCGTGCTGTAGGTGCAGCTCATGATCGCGTGTGGAGCTGGTTCGTGGCTCATTCAAGAGTCGTTGTGAATTAGGGGGAGTCTGTCAGTTGGGTCCTGGCTGTCGGTCTTGGGGTTTCCGCAGCGTTGTTGCGGAATCATCGAGAAGTGATCGTGAAATGTTGGTGTGGAGTTTCTACACTGCGATGTTGCTGGGTTGAAACTAAGTTAGTATGTCTAGTGGGAGAAAGACCTTGGCGGTGGTGGTACTGTCCTAGGTTCAATGTCTATATGACGTGCCGGTGGCGAGAGAAGAACTACAGGTGCAAGATGAACAATTTTTTTTTTTTTTTTTTTTTTTTTTTTTTTCTAACCGAGAACAGCTGGAAGAGAGTCGACATTAATTGCGAGATTAGATTTCTGTGAGTTTCGTAAACCGTGACACTTTGATCTCTTTCGTTACCGCGACGGTTTGTTGAGCTAATTTGTCGAGCGCCATGCTGGTAGTCACGTGATGCGTTACATACTGAAATGATATCACTGTGCGTGGCAATGTCGAATTTCTGTATGCGTTATGCATGCACTCGGCAGTTGCAAATGAGCTTTACGGTGTGATGTTTCTGCGTCGGCCGTATTACAGAACTTCACTTCACTGGTGACTCACGAAGCATAGGTAGCTGAGTTTAGAAATCATTGTTGGGAACTAAATATGGTTTGAGTAATAGGATCCAGCATGTTGACCTTGCATATAAATACGGCAATATCTCTTTTCACGCAAAGTCAACGTGGTGTCCATAATTTCTGCGTTAGGTTCTGATGTATGCATAAAAGAATCCAGCATGATTTACTGAGTTCGTTTCAACGACAATGTTCAAACAATTTCTCAACATGCCGTCATTACAACTAATTTCGTTCTCTTTGCCTGTCCAGTTGATTCATTCATCAAGACTTGCCATTGAATTCAGACTTTACTCGAATTGAAAATGTCACTGGGGCGTTCAAACATGGAAGGTGGTGGAGCGCCTCTAGTTAGGGGGCCATCAATCGACATTAAAATCCGCCCCGCTCTGCCAGATTTTCTGAAGACTGTGAACCTCAAGTATGTAAAACTCGGGTACCACATTGTCATATCGCACGCCATGTACCTCCTGATGTTGCCCGCTTTGCTCACCATCTTGGCCGAAGTTGGCCGTCTCAGCCACCACGACGTCGGTGATCTCTGGAGGCAGCTTCAATACAACCTGGTGAGCGTGCTTCTCACCACTGGAGCTCTTGTTTTCGGCTTCACATTGTACTACATGACCCGCCCAAGACCTGTATACCTCGTAAACTACGCTTGCTACAAGCCCGAGGAGAAGAACAAGTGCTCCCACAAGCGCTTTGTGGATCGATCGGTCGATTCCGGTTTTTTTACCCACGAGAACATCGAGTTTCAGAGGAAAATCATCGAGAGGTCTGGATTGGGGCAAGAGACGTATTTGCCACCGGCAGTGCTTGTGACATCGCCATGTCCCAACATGGCTAGAGCGCGGGAGGAAGCCGAACAGGTCATGTTCGGTGCATTAGACGAGCTGTTCGAAACGACGGGTGTGAAGCCGAAGGACATTGAGATTTTAGTTGTGAACTGCAGCTTGTTCAATCCAACGCCGTCGCTCTCGGCTATGATCGTCAATCATTACAAAATGCGTGGAAATATCCACAGCATCAACCTCGCTGGAATGGGATGCAGCGCCGGTATCATCGCCATCGACTTGGCTAAGGATCTCCTCCAGGTGCACCGAAATTCGTACGCCATTGTCATGTCCTTCGAGAACATCACCCTGAATTGGTACTTCGGCAACGACAGGTCGAAGCTCGTCTCGAACTGTATCTTCCGGATGGGGGGCGCGGCCATTCTCCTCAGCAACAAGCCAAGCGCTTTGTCCAAGTCCAAGTTCCAACTAGTGCACACGATGCGCACCCACAAGGGCTCCGACAGCAAAAGCTTCGAGTGCGTCTACCAGGAGGAGGACTCTAACGGCAAGTTGGGCGTCTCCCTCTCCCGCGACTTGATGTCTGTCGCGGGCGACGCTCTCAAGGCCAACATCACCACTCTCGGGCCTCTCGTCCTCCCCCTATCTGAACAGCTCCTCTTCTTCGCCACACTCGTCGGCCGCAAGCTCTTCAAAATGAAGACGCTCAAGCCCTACATCCCGGACTTTACCCTAGCATTCGACCACTTCTGCATCCACGCAGGAGGACGCGCCGTGCTGGACGAGGTGGAGAAGAACCTGAACCTCACCGCCTGGCACATGGAGCCTTCTCGCATGACCCTGTACCGATTTGGTAACACGTCCAGCTCCTCTCCCTGGTACGAACTGGCGTACTCCGAGGCCAAGGGCCGCGTCAAGCGAGGCGACCGCGTGTGGCAAATCGCCTTCGGTTCCGGATTTAAATGCAACTCCGCCGTCTGGAAGGCTCTCCGGTCGCTGGAGCCGCCCGCGCGGGGTGTGTGGACGGACTGCATCGACAAGTTGCCGGTTGAAGTCCCAACTGGTGCAAATCTAGCGTCGGCGACACTAGAATCGCCTTCGCATTGATCCGTTCCAGTGCTAGACCGCAGCGCACACCCTCACATCTCACCACGCACTCCAGGATAACACAAGCCAATTTGTAAGAATAATCAGACTCTATGCTCATCAGCACTCGCCTCGATGGTTCCGTCTGCCGCTACTGCTTGCACTAAGAGTCGACAATACTGCGGGAACCCGAACGGGATCCGTCGACGTCTCGGTTCTTAAGAACTGGGATCAGTTTGTGAATCTATGTGCAAGCAGACGAGGATCTGACACTGCGATGCGATGCGGGAGCACTGGGACGGATCCTCCGCCGCGGCCTCGCCATTGAAGATCGACTCGCGGCGTTTCCTTGTTTCAGTGGCGCAGGCATTTGGAGGTGCTCCGCTGGTCGACAGAGATCATCCGCTCGCTGACGGACAGAATCGTTCGTTCTTCTGCCACGTATGCAGCAAAAAGAGCAGGATTAGACAATCTGGATGTGGGCATACTAGAAATGTGATGTAAATGAAATGAAATGAAAGGCAGCTTCTAAAGAAAATGCACTCTCTCTCTCTCTCTCTCTCTCTCTCACATCCCTTTGCACATTTTGAAGTGTATATCGTGCTTAGGTAATCAGATTATTGAAGAATTGTTCAAAATAATGCACACTTTTTATTTTCATATATGCATGTGTAAATTAATTATATGTTTTAATAATCTTACCGTGATTGATTAATTAGCTAATTTATTTATTTTACTTCAGGTTTTAAAAGTTAATATGTAGTCAATGTGCTCGGTACATATGACTACTCTTAGTGTAAAATTATGTATTGAACATTCTAGTACATGGCTTGTATTTTAAATGATATTTCATGCTTATATCTTTTAAAAAAATAAATCTATTATGATCATTGCTGTTAATATAATATTTAATTTTATTTAGAATGCACAAAGAATAGTCCTTTATAAGTATTACAATAATTTAGTGTTTTTTCTATATATTCTGATTAGTAATAATAAATAAAAACATTGTGGAAGTTTCTTTAGAATTATGAGATTAGTAAGTTAAGTCTGTAAGTTGTGGCATGCATCTATTGTAGCTTCTAAGGAGGTCTTTAAACCTTGAAGCCTAGTTTAAAAGGCCATGGTTTAAAATCATTCATAAGGTTCTTTGCTTAGTAAAGAAAAGCCCTCTTTTAGAAGCCTTGACCTTTAAATATAGAATAAGGTGAGAAAAGACCATAACATAAGCCATATCATTTTTTTATTACAAGACTAAATATGTTATCTTAGATCTTAATTCTAACAATAACAACTGGTATATAAATTTGACTTATCATTTTTTAAAATAGTGTGAATCTATGTGCAAGCAGACAAATTTATAACATGGCTTTTCATTTTTATTTTTTTATTTTTTTATTTTTTTATAAAAACCAGCTTTAGAGATGGATCCAACAAAAATTCTAGAAAGCAACATTATTTGTGCTACGTAGAAACAAAATGCATTCTATCTCATCATTTCCTCCTATAATTTTTGGACTAATATTTTAGATCAAAAGCCAATTAAGCAAGGCTTTTTGATTTCAACCAATCACTAGATTTAATAATTGTGATCCTTCATATTCTTTTCTAAATTCAAAGATCTCTAAAAATCTAAATTCTAAATTCAAAGAATCTAAAAATCTCCCTAATTTTTATTATATTTTATTTTATTTTCTGGCCATGTGGTGCATTTAAAGACACTTATTGATACAAATCATCTCTAAAAACACTTAGGAATGTTTTTCAAGGAGATTTTATCTACCTAGTCTTTTTTATTATTATTATTATCATTATTTCTACTTATTTTTATTTATATTATTCTTATAAATATCAATGATATTTTATAATTAAATATTAAAATAAAAAACTTATTTACAATTTTTTTAAAGAGATATTATATGTATTTATAATTATAATTATAAATATAAATTTATAATAGTTTAAAAAAATGATTACATGATTTTATAGATGACTTATGACAATTTAAAAAATTTATTAAAAAAAATATTTACTTACAATTTAAAATATAAATAATGAATATTTAATTGATTCTTCTTTTTTCTCCTTTTAAAGTGTTGAACTTATTAATTTGACATAATTGATTTGAATTGATAGATAGATGCTATATTATGTTTGTATATATGTATTCTAAAAACTTATAAAAATTTAATCATTTTTAGAATATAATTATTTTAAGTAAATGAAAAAATATTATTGAATTTAAAATACACATATATATATATATATATATATATATACACGCACATACACACACATATACATACACACACACATATATATATATATATATATATATATAAATATTCATATATATATAATTCAATAATATTCAATAATATTTAATAGTTAAAATAATATTTTATTTTTATATTAAAATTAAGTGTAAAAATGAAATTTATTATAGATATTACAAACATGCATATTTACTCCAATGATTTTAAAGATAATTTGAGTGGATAGAAATAAATAAAAATAGGAAATTTTGATAAAATATTTTAGAAAAGCTTTATAGAAGTGGATGTGCCTTAATATGTATCTATAGGTGATTGGTAGGTTAAAAACTTTGCTAATAAGTTGGCCATGTGTTGCACATGTTGGCCACTTGTGGTATAAGTTGAACATATGGTATTTATATAAAAAAACTTTTTTTGCAAATTAGACATAATACAATAAGATTAACATAAAATAAAGATATAGAGACTCATAAAACTAGACTAGAAGTTTAGAATCTCATTTTAAAGTTGACCATGTATTATATATATTAGCCACTTGTGGTATAAATTGAATATGTGGTGCACATATAGAAAACTTGCTTTGCAAATTAAACATGAAAAATAAGATTAACATAAAATAAAAACATAGAAATTATTGAAGTTGCTTTAACATCTATACTAAATCATATTACTTTTCTTATGGTTATATGCTTCACAATTCTAACAACTTGCAATCAATATCTAATGAAATTATATTGCACTTATTAACCAATTTATCTACATATCATAATATAAGATAAAAAAAATTGATGCTGGATTTAATTGAATCTTAGACGTTAAATTAAGCAATTTAATTTGCTCTAAAGTGCGATAATTGGCTATATAAATTTCAATCAAAGAATTACAGGAGTGAGCCTCAATATTGTTGTATTATATAAAAATTAATTTAAAAATATACTGAATATCTTATTGTAGAAAGGTTTAAACTTACCTTGAAGTTTTATTTAAAATCCAAAATAATGCATAAGATATTTAGAAACACCTTTTGGCATCCTTGAACAATCCAAGTAAGCTTAAAATTATCTTAAGTACATCCTATCAAATTAAAAAGATCTTATATAAATCATGTTATATTATAATTAATTTTAAAATTATTAATATATAATCTTTAACATATTTTAAATAAATTCCAATAAAATCCTAATTAAAAGCCATTATCAAATCCTAATCAAATCCTAATTAAATCCTAATAAAATTATAAATCTTAGTCGAATTCTAAATTCCAAATCCTAGTGAAATTTTGAAACCTAAATTCTAATCAAATTCTAATTCCTACACCTTAATCATAGATAAATTTAAATCAAATCTTAATCAAATCTTAGATTCTAAATCCTAATAAAATTCTAAATTCTAGATTTTAATCTTAACCAAATCCAAACAAAGTTTAAATCATATCTAAATCAAACTATAATGAAATACTAATGAAATCTTAATAAAATCCTAATAAAATTCTAACCAAATCTTATAGTAGTTTAAAACCTCAATAACTAAAACTTTAGATGTTGATTTTAGCTCAAAGATTTTGTAATTTTTAATCACTTAGTTAATAATAAGTACAAATAATTTGAAGAAGACTTAGCTTATCAAATAGAAGATAAACCTCTTAATCTGCTAGAATTTTGGCTAGCCTCTTTCTCCAACCTTGATGCCAATGTCCTAACACCAATATCTTTTGATTTCACCTTTCAATTGCTCTCAAATTTTGCACACTTATTGAAAATCAAGTTTACTACTAGTTATTAAGAACATGAATCTTGAAGAAAGAAAAACTTGATAAACTCTTATTTTATTCAAAAATACTAAAAAAATCACTCAAAGATGGTAATATATTGAATTAAAATGGCTATTGCTAAAAAAAAGAAGACTAGAAAGTCTTGAAACAATACTAAAGACTAAAAAGACATTAACAAGAGTGAAGAAGACTTTACTTTTGCTTCTATATATACTCTTAATTAAAAGCTATGTAGCAATATTCTATTTGACATCCAAAACGTGTTGACTTTGTAAGACATGTAGCTTAACTTGCAAGACAAGTTTTTTAATCACGTGTTGACTTTGTACTATATAATTAACTTATTTTTCAAGCTATCAACACGTGATTAATTTGTTGAACAAGTTTCTAAGCTATTAATTAACTACAAATACATGTAAAGTCAAAGCAATGTTTATGAAGCTTCTAAGAAGCTCTTCTAGAAAATATTATGAAATAAATTTACTTTTATTTACTTCTATTTAATCATATAGGTAAATATTAGAGTAAATATATATGTCCATGAAACTAGTATAAGTTTTTATATTTCAATCCAATTATTGGATTGATGCAAATCTTAGAAACTTATAATGATCCTCCAAATTCAAATTTTTCAGACCTTAATATATTTGAATTCTAATAAACTTCAAATAAATTTTTTAATTAAATTCATACTTATGACACATATTTAATATAACTATTTTAAAAAAATCACAAAATTCCATCCAAAGATCAATAACCAATACTATAAAATTATCTAAAGTATAAATCTTTTATATTTTTTTTAAAAATCTAATGTCATCCTAAAATTTTTTTGACTTTGCAAAGCTTATAAATAATTATTAAAAACTTAAATCACTTCTAATTACCCTCCAAAAGTTTTTTTCTAATCTACTTTCAAATCTTGCTCTGTAATCAACAAAAGAATCCTAAGATTGCCATAGGTGCTTGATTTTGTGCCTTCGAGGTTAATTTCATTATTGGTTATAATTTGTAATCTAGATATCAATTTCTAAATTTTTAAAGTTATTTTTACTACAAACTACTCTCAAGTAACTCCATAAGATTTCAATATTATTCATTTTTTAAAATCTATTTTTTTTAATTTATTAATGATTTTATAAAGTAAGTAGAAGCTAATTTTGTAAAAAGTGGGATTAGTACTTATTAAATTTTCTATCTCCTTCACTATTATCTATATTTCTAAAGTAATTTTCTGCAATATTTATAAGTTAGCTCTTTTATAATATTATCATGTTTTATTTTTTATTTTTTATTTTATCAAATAGCCATGTAACAACATAATAATATTTTGACAATTTAATAGCAACCGTAATGTCTTTTCAATATATACATTAGTAAATGGAAGACATGCAAATTTACGTAGTATATTTTATATATTTGTTAATCTAAAACCATCTAACAAACTTAAAATTTTTAATCATTAATTATAAATTTTAAAAATTAATTATTAAATCTACAATCCTTGAAAAAAATAAAGAAAAAAAGACTTGGTATAAATGGAGTCAAATCAAGAAAAAGAAAAGATGGTATAATAAAAATTAAAAAAAAAAAGTAATAGATTTAGTATAAAAATGAT